TATAAATTAGCCAAAGATTATTTCAATACTGAAGAACAAGTTGACGAAGAGACAGAAGACTTCTTATCATCACTTTAAAAACTTAATTCGTGAGAACCCACTGGGGAGGTAATTCTGTATCATAAGGAATAATTAATAGTACTAATTAAAAGATAAGACCCAGCTCTTTAAAACGATGAGGGATCACTATATAAGGGTCTTTATAATACCATACTTCAAAAAGTATTATTTGATTTTTATTGCAAAGTTCTTTTTTTAGCTGATCTCGTGCAAACTGTTTTTCAAAATCCTTTTGGTTTTTGTGAAAGAAAGCATGAAAACATTCATGTTGTTAACCTTGAACTTCGATAGCAAAACCATATTGTGGATAGTATATATCAAGTTCAAGTCCTAATGGATGATCAGGTGTTTTTAAGAAATCTGGTCTACGAATATCAGATGGTGGGCCTAATAATTCCGTTACTATTTCTTTGCAAAGTTCTTGTCTTTTCCATGGGCAAAATGGGCACCATGTACCTGAATTTTTTACGCTATTTAAGGTTGCATACCATTCATGCTTTATTTCACACTGCCATTTTAATTTTGTATGCGCACCATTATATGTTTCAGAAAGACATAATCCTTTATTTTTAGTCGCAGTTTTTCTAGCATGCTCAATAGTAAGTTTTGCATTACCTGAACAGTGAGGACACCATGTATCAAAATTTCTTATACATTTAAGATTTGTATACCATTGATGACCTTCGTTACATTCCCATAAAAGCAAAGAGTCTATATTAATATATTTTTCTGATAAACATTTTCCACCTTTTTTAAGTGCAATTTCTTTAGCAATAGCAATATTAAGCTTAGCACTTATTGCGCATTGAGGGCACCAAGAATTACGATTTTTTATTGTATTTAATTCTGCATACCAAATATGACCTTGATGACATCTCCATTGTAATGGAATATGAATATTAATATATTTATCAGATAAACATTTACCATTTCTAGATTGAGCTATATTTTTTGCTATATCTAAACCAACTTTTCGAGAATCTATTACACATTTAGGACACCAAGAATCATGATTTCTTATTCTTTCTAAAGGAGCTTGCCATTCATGTTTTTTTGCGCATTGCCAGAAAAGTGGTGTATAACTATTTATATATTTTTTAGAAAGGCAAATACCACCTTTTTTAAACGCAATTTTTTTAGCAATATCAATATTAAGTCTAGCATTTCCTGCACATTGAGGACACCATCTACCTTTTTTTATATCGCATAAAGCAGAATTCCATTCGTGAAACTTAGCACATTTCCAATGTAAAGGGCTTTTATTATTGATATAACATTCAGAAAGACATTGCCCTCCTTTTTCTAAAGCAATATTTTGAGCATCAATTAATGTTAATTTACGTCTCATTTTTAGAGGAAGCTTTGTAACATTTATATTAATATTTAAAATCTAATTATTAAGTACCCATTGAGGTGGTAATTGCACATCCTTTATGATTTGAAGTTCTTCTCGAACAAAAGATCTTTTAGGACGTTTGAGAATATAATCATCATTATCAATTAACCCAAAGGGGACTTCTTCCAGCCAGTATAAGACCGGCTGATTTTTTTGTACCATAGATTGACGGATATGATAAATATGTGAAGACCAATTCAAATCACCAGCACGACGTCTTCCTCCTTCCTGATCACTAGAATATAGTAAATATCTTACAAGCACATCACCAGAAAGCTTCTCTTCATCAAAGCCTACAGGACCATCTCGAGGATAAGAAGACTTAGAGATAATACTTTTTC